AATATTATTATTTATTTACAAACTTCCCCAGATCCTGCCTACCAAACTTACCTAACTATCTTCTGGGGCGTGCCGGGCTCGAGGCGACTTTAAAAGGCAAACATCAGAGGCCGAAACCCTGAATCGCCTGCCCCCAACAGGGAATAAATCCCCACCCAGGATTACCCCGAAAATAAAAAAGGCAAAATAAAAAATGAGTGCCTGAAGGAAGGACTGATTCAGTCCAGCTAGACACTCCCCTCTCTAAACTGAGGAAGATGTTCAACAGTAAATACTTTCACAGCCAATTCTACACTTATATACACTACTGCTCACCACCAAACACAATATCAACACTAACCAACAACCAAATACTCACTCTTTGTCTCAAAGATTGGACGAGCCCCCATGTTACGTTCCCTTGTAGAGCTAGGGGTACCAAGGGAAGTAGCGACACACAAGATAGCCGGACGAGAGAAAAAGGAGAGGAAACTGAATGCTGAAGGAGTTTAAGTGAGGTTTTAATTAGTTAAGAAGTAAGGCAGCTCACCAGCCCAATTACAAAACAAACTTACAGTAAACAACACACAACTATGCTGGGTCTCACACAGAGACATGCTGCACACATGCAGCCAGATGAGAAGGAGAGAGAAAGCAGCAACCTTCCCCCTGTCCTATATGGAGGCCCTGATTGAGGATAGGGAGCACCTGGGGAGAGGCTGCACCTGGGGACAATCAAGGCTGCACCTGGGGAGTCAGAGGGAGAGAGAGAAACAGCCACACGACCACACAAACACTATGGCACGTAACAGGCAGTATAATCATTTTAATATTTGTGTCGTAGGTTGCGCTCCTCTGTGGCGTAGGCCTGGGCCCGGGTGGAACGCTGCCTGCCTTCAGTGTAGGGACTGCACGGTGTGACACTTTATTTTCTGTATGCTAAATATCTCATTGTTATTATTTTATAGAGATTGTGGTTTAAATATTGCATGCTTATGTTGTTTTGGTGTGTGGCTTTTCTTGTTTTTGTCCCTCACGATTAGCAGGCACTGCAACCCAGCGCAACTGAGGAGGGTAATTTATATATGTATTGAATTGTATTTGCCATTATTATACTGGACATGAATCGACATTTTAAACTGTTTCCAAACACTTATTAAATAAAGCTGTGTTATGTTTTTGGAATTCATGCCTCTGTCATAATTGGACCGATTAAGGGAAGCTTTAAAAAAAGCGATCCACGACTTACATTTAGGGTCCACGGGTTCCTCCTGCCCCTTAGCAGGAGGTGGCGTTGCCAAGTACTAGCTTTACATGTGGCAACCTCAGTCACGGTTACCACATAAGTAAATACATTTGTTCCTGCTCAAGATTAGATTCAACTTTATTGTTATTGCACATATTACAGGTACTGAGACAACGAAATGCAGTTTAGCTTCTAACCAGGTGCAACAAACAGTAAAGTGAAAAGTAATGTACACAATAGCAGTGGCGTTTTCTCCCGGAGGCCAAGGGAAGCCAGGCTTCCCCTGTTTTTTCGGATTGTAGTTATAATTTAAATAAATAAATAAAAACACTTTGTTTTGTTTCGATAATTCTCCTTGCTGTGTGTTGCTGCCGGCCGTCTCTCCCCCATTCTCATTGAGTACTTTACAAAGAGTGAAACAGCGCCCCTCTAGATGTTATGGTGAAACAGTAGATTGCACTCTCTGTTGCGAGAGGAGGCCAGCCGAATCTGGCTTCCTTTGGTGAAAAAAAATGGAGGGATTGACCAATCAGATGAGGCCCACGTGATGCCCCTGCCAACCTGTGATTGGTCAGGGCCATGCCAAGGGAAGCCAGCCGCCTCTAGCTTCCCTTCAGGGGCGGCTGGCGGCTGGCGATTTGATTGGACACTGCCATCCAATCAAATCACATCAACATCAGTTTTAATACTGTAACTGTCATCACCGCCGTTAGAATTATCAAGCAAATGAAGCATTATGGAGGGTGGAGAATTTGGCGTACTTAATCAAACATAACTTTACTAAACTTCCGCTACAGCAGCAACTGAAAATTAAATCAGATGACAGGCCAATGCCCGCCACTCGAGCTGTGTGTACACAGAGGAAAAAGGGAGAGAATCGGACGTTCAATGAGGACAAATATGTCCGCACGGGTGGCTAACTGGAAGCGCTAAACTTCAGCGTCTAATTTGCTGGCCATGTCTTCTTTTGACAAGGATTCGTGCTCCCTGAACAATCCTTGGGCAACTTCAGGATTCATCGACCTTGCCAACCTGTCACGGGCAATTGAGAGGCACGGTAAATCCAAAATCACATAGATTGTGTGATTGTCTGCCTACATTAATAAGTAAAATGCTTAAATTAATAAGAAGAGAGTTTTTCAGCTGGAGAGTGCGTGCGGACCTGTCGGTTAGATAACAGGCGTGTGCAAGTCCTGCATCTGTGTGATACAAATGTGTGTAAAATGATACCGGGCGCTGTAATCATTCATCTGGTTACGTTATTGACCGCCCCCCGACCCAAAAAATGGGCTTCCCCTACATTTTTCCCCACGCCACGCTACTGCACAATAGACAGAATAGGCTTGTTTGAGACGCGTTGCGGCTCGCCTCGAAAGTAGACGAGAATAGCCGATCGCAGCCGGGGGAGGTCTCAAAAAGCTCGCCTGAAGTCGGACAGCTCGAAGTCGGCTTCGTCTTCTTCTTCTCTCTGTTTTTTGGCGGATTGCAAACAACTTTAGGTGCATACCGCCACCTCCGGAGTCGGCTTGACTCAGTTTGCATTTATAAAGAATGCACACATGTGTTTAATCGTTAATGTCAGATATGTACTAAGTAAATACATTTGTTCCTGCTCAAGATTAGATTCAACTTTATTGTTATTGCACATATTACAGGTAGGCTACCTATGAGAGAACGAAATTCAGTTTAGCTTCTAACCAGGTGCAACAAGCAGTAAAGTGAAAAGTAATGTACACAATCTACAGAATACAATATAGAATGAATTGAATGATGAATAAACAGTGAGGGGTATGAATTAGGGTTGCCAACTTCCAGACATGGAGAAACGGGACACACGCATGTGTCCCCCGCGCGCGCGCGAAGATTTTCGGGTTTCTGGCGGATTTAGTTACTTTTTTTTGTTACTTTATTTCGGTGTTATGTTATTTAATTATTTTGGGGGAGCCAGCCCCCTAGGGTTCGAGGGGTCAAACCCCCCAAAACCCTCAAAATGCATAGAAAACGATGCATAGCCTACCTATAACACAATACAAACACAATGATTGATTTTACACCTGCATTAGGCTACTACATCACATTGTATATCAGCATGTTCAAATCGGATAGGTGGGCACTAGGGACATCTGGGCACCTCGATGTACAATTGGCTATTTTGTCCAAAATGTTAAAAAATAAATATTTGAAAATGGTAGGCTATTAAGTAATGCAAAGTATACATGATGTGAACATGCAACGGTCAACACACACACACACACACACACACAACCCCACAACACACAACACACACACACACACACACAACACACACACACACACACACACACAGAAGACCCGAGACAGATCTCGACTCACAGGCTTTACCCAACTGTGTTTTTCTTCCACTGTTTGTTGTAAGACACAAGTATTTTCTTTTTAGAACGGCCAGGGCCCAGAACCACATCCTCTCTCTCTTCTCCTCTTTCATTATCACCTCCTCCACTGGCAGCGCTCATTTTCCCACACGACTGAACAGGCTGACATGCCACGCAAACAATGATGCCGCGCCCGCGGCCCACCGGAGAAAATCTCACACACACGTGCGAGCATTGTGCCTGCCCTGTCAACTGAGCGGTCCTAGTGCCCTTCGCATACAGCACACAAACACACAGCAGACACACTGCATTGCGCGCAAACAGAAACATTTGTTATTTTTCCCTTTCCACGGGAGTCCGGGACAAACAATGTCCGTACAGACTAGCCCTTTTGGCTCAAATACGGGACGGTTGGCAACCCTAGTATGAATACACGAAGAGAAGAAGAAGAAGAAGAAGAAGAAGTGAAGAAGAAGAAGAAGAAGAAGAAGGAAGAAGAAGAAGGGAGAAGAAGGAAGAAGAAGAAGAAGATAGAAGAAGAAGAAGAAGAAGAAGAAAAGAAGAAGAAGAAAGAAGAAGAAGAAGAAGAAGAAGAAGAAGAAGAAGAAGAAGAAGAGAAGAAGAAGAAGGAAGAAGAAGAAGAAGAAGAAGAAGAAGAAGAAGAAGAAGAAGAAGAAGAAGAAGAAGAAGAAGAAGAAGAAGAAAGAAGAAGAGAAGCCGACTCGCAGATGTCCGACTTCAGACGAGCTTTTTGAGACCTCCCCCGGCTGCGATCGGCTATTCTGTCTACTTTCGAGGCGAGCCGCAGCTCGTCTCAAACAAGCCTACTGTTACTCACTTGCGTCTTTTTCCTTGCCTCTTAGTCCCTCCCACCAGGGAAGGCATGCGAGACGCCAAAGAAACCATGCCGAGAAGGGAAGAAGAAGCAGGGAAATTACACTAAAAAAAAGATCTTTGGCTGGCTGTTACATCAAACAAAATGTAACATGTATTTTCAACGTAATTAATTTCATGTTTCCAAGATGAACGTGATGAAAAACATGTATGGTTTGCATGAATCGCAACAATTCACATTTATTAGATTCATTCATGTTGAGATAAACTGACACAAAGGGATTAGGGTACATATGATTCCCACTCCAGAGCAGAAGGTGGCGGTATAACCACCAATAAACTGGATACCAACTAATGTAATCAGAGACAAAAATCAATCTACTTTTAAATGTTCACGGTTGTAAAGATGTGAAACGACAAACAATAAGACATGCTAAATTCTTGACTGCTCTTGGACACTTCCATGGAGTATTAAGATAACTCTGCCAGACTCTGCCATTGTTTTATTTTGTCCGCGATCTGGCGGGAAAGGTTTTTCCCTGCATCCTGTGTGCACTCGCGATATTTGGGCTCTAACCGTAAACTAACCATCATCATCGCGAGAGAGGATCATTGAGACAAGAAAGACCGATGGCGAAAGTTGGAGGAGGTAAGCAGAAAACATTGTCATCTAACTGTGAAGCTGTTAATAAATGTCATCAACTGTTAGTCCATGATGTGATACTTGTGGTAACGTTGATAGTTAATTTGTTATTTAGTGTTCTTTTTGATCTCACTTAAAAAGCCGAATGAGCCGACGGAACATGCTAAAGCTAACGTCGTTAACTAGCTAGTCTGTGTAACTGCCAGTTAGGGAGATGGTTCAAATATAGAATATCAGGATTGAAAACTAAATGACGGAAGCATTACCCTGAGAAAGTTAAACGAAAAGTGTGCTACCCCAGGCGCTTATATGTCAGTAATATCAGCCCCTTTTACAAAGGAATGTTGCGCCGTTATTCGGCTGCGTCACGTAAATTAGCTGCCAAGCTAGCTGCCATGCGGAGCTGACTGCCACTGTGGTTTTCGCTCTGCAGTTAAAGTTACGTGACGGGTGCCGCTCTGTCAGTGTCGGTAGTCGCACTCTCTGTCTCTCCGCTAGCTCTCCCTGCTCAGCATATAGTTATGTTCGGCTCTGTGTAACTGCACCCCCGGGCCAGTAACCTACATGCTGCCTGTACTGCAGTGACAAAGAGCCGGCTGAAAATCGGCAACGTTTTCTTAATATTCCTCGATTTTAAATATTGATGTCCACACATTTTCAGTAATAATGTTGTCAGGCACTTAATAATAATAATACGTGTGCCTATCAGTGGCAAAAACAAGCACTTCAACTTTGAGTAATATAGGATAATGTAACAATTCAGTAGGGTACCGAGCCCCGGTATTAATCAAAGGAGTCCCGGGAATTAATTATTAAAGACTGGTGCCATTAAGCTCCAATGTTATCAGTCTTTGTATCGGTACTGGAGATATTTAAAACATGTTATATGTATTATGCTACACAAACATTATATTGCAGTTTTAGTTTTGCCAACTCCGTTTTTAATATGCAAAAAGTCTGCAAAATGCGTCTGATTATTTTGAGTATTTTCGATCTTTCAAATCCAGCGTCTCTGTGTGAGGGGGCGGGGCAGTTTACACACGCGACTGCTACATGCAGCACACACACACCTCCAATTATCTGTTTGAATCCTAAAATCCCATGTGTGAATATATATATAAGGGCGAGAGATTCAGTATTAGCATTGATGCTTTTGTCTTTAGGTCTACGGACCATTGGTGTGATCACCAAACTGGACCTGATGGATGAAGGGACAGACTCACGAGACATCCTGGAAAACAAACTACTGCCGCTCCACAGAGGTGAGAACCCCCCCACACGCACACATTTTTATTAAATCCTTGATTGGAATCCAGCTATTACATTACAATATTTACAGACTTTATATACTACCCAAAACAGGGTGTCTTTTCTTTAGGGGTCAGCAAATCATCAATCTGCATTATTTTCCCTGTAATTCCTGACATTGAAATTAAACAATTACTATGGTGTTAAATTGACTAACAGCTTTATTTGTATTGTTCCACATGTGAACAGTTCTCCAATTGTAGAAGTTATAATAATTTAATATTTGGTCACAAGTGCTTTGGAATCAACGTTTGTCTTTATTCCATAACTCACATTGAACAACTGATATTTGTCTTTCTTTAGGTTACATCGGGGTGGTGAACCGCAGTCAGAAGGACATTGATGGAAAGAAAGACATCCACGCTGCTTTGGCTGCTGAGGCTGCTGAGAGGAAGTTCTTCCTGTCCCACCCGGGGTACAGACACATTGCAGAATGCATGGGCACACCACACCTGCAGAAGACCCTCAATCAGGTGAGACACACACGCAGGGCCGTCCCTCCCTACAGGCCGATCATGCAGGCTGGAAACTAGAGCATCACTCGAAGATGGGTTATTGTATGAGTAAAATGTCAAACTTTTGCCAATTGCCATATTAAAACATCAGCTGCAATTCACAACATGAAGAAGGCAGTCTCTGCATAGCATATAGGCTAATGGAGATGCAGTTATTTCCAGCATTCTTTATTTACCATTCATTCAAGTATTTTATGCCTTTTTATCTGCTAATGTAAATACATGATTTATGCAATTGCATGTCTTAAACGGACTGAACTGCTAAATCAAACCTGTGAACAGTGACATCAAAATAGCCAATCTGAGTTTTGTGGGTTTTGTTTTTTTGTTGTAGGTGAATGCAGAATTTAAGAGAATCACAACAATTAATTTGCAATCCAAGTTCTTCTCTTCGCTGGATATTCACTCTACAAGCCTGATCGATGTGTATACCAAGAAAGGTGGAGTTCAAGGGAAGAAGATCAAAAGCATCATGCTTCCCATAACCCAGGTATGAAAACAATGTAAAGGTGACAAAGAAACTGTAGGAGCTGTACAAAGTCTAGGATGTTCCGTGAATAGCATAGCATCCGGAGCATTATGTTTTCAATATTATTTTGACACTTAGCACCACATCCATTCCCCCAGTGGGGGTCATTGTATCAGAGTGAGCGGCATACTATTATGAAGGCCTAAAATAACGCACTACAAAGCTGTCCCTGACAGCAGTCTTTCATGGAAATGGCAGATGTTCCTACCCCAATGGTCACTGAGTGTACTGTAGGGCTGCAGCCAGGGGCGGCGGGTACTGTAGGCTAGGGAAGGCTAAGCCTTCGCAAATATTTGTGTCACTGCATCCTGGTAAAATACAAATATAATGTTTGTGTCTTTGACATTAGCGCTGCTATGCAGCCACCAGTAAACTACTACGAAGCCAGTTCAACAGACCCTGGATATGTTTGAGTTATCTTAACTAACCCTAACAAACGAGATCTCGCTAAGCGGTCCTACAACGCTGGTTATCAACTCTGTAAATCAAGCCAGGGATTCTCTCTCCAGCTGAGAGCGCATTCATGTGAAAGGGGCGGGGTTAGCTACATTTGACCAATCACACACAGGGACAAGTGTACTGCGCAGCGTCATACTTCAGTAATGAAAAGTAAACTAATATTAGACAAATATGAGCTTTAACCATCCATGACTTAAACATATAATCCAGGATACAAGCCACATAGTTGCACCTGCAAGGAGAATATAGAACAACTGGTTAAAAAATAAATAAACTACAGAGCGTTTGAAAGCGTACAACAGTTTTATGATATCACTGCCCCATAGACACGAGTGGATCTGACTTTAATTACATTTGAGTTGAGTGTTTCGTCAACCCAATGTGTTGCTTAAAATAATACTTCTGCATCCAGTATGTGACACTGTGAGTGTTGCACGGCCAGATACGGCTCAGCTGACTCAGATAAGGAAATATATATTATATGATCGATGATCTGATTGATGATGTGATATGAACGATAAGTGCGACACGTCGGCGTCTTCTCTGCATACGGCAATTTAAACTGTATTTCCTTTATCCTGTAAAACTCTGCACACTGAGCTCTGATTGGTCACTGAGTTGATCTATTTTCTATACACGCCGGTGGCGGGCAGCGTCAGGTAAAAAAAGTTATTTAGCCTTCCCAAACCTGAGCCTCACGCGCCGCCTATGACTGCAGCGATCAATTATTTTAGTAATCGAGTATTCTATCAATTATTCCATTGATTAATCGAGTAATTGGAAACAGATTAGCTTTTTAAAGCAAAAGTATTTCTTCAATAAAAAGTCATTTTAAATATTCAAAATAAGACAGGTCTTCTCAAATGAACAACTAATTATTTTCCTTTTTTAGAAAAATGTATTGCTTAAATTGCATAGCATATTATCTGACTAAACCCATTGAATTAAAGTGCAATATTACATTCAGGGTTTTAAAGAAAACATTTGTGAAACGGTGAAACCCAGACTGCTTGTTGTTCATAATGGGCTTTTTTATTGCATGTTCTCTGACCTGCATACTTAGACTGACAGCATTGACGTGAGACGCGAATGCATCCTCAAAGGTCTTTGTGTCTACTTCAATGAAGATCCAGAGCTGGTGAAGGAATACATGGTATGTTGATGTACCTTTTTTATCTTCACAAAGAGGAGGATGATCATAGTTGGAATGGATTGTGTTTCTTCTAAAACTAAGGGAAATGTTGCCTTTACATTTTGATGATGTTGGATGTGTTAATGCTTTTTGGAAACAGTGTTTTTTGTTCTTTCTTTTTTTTCAATTTGGAAAACCCAAACTACATAAAGCTCAATATGACCGATTATAGAAATGGGATGTAATGCACATCAGTGAAAATCACTCTCCTTATTTGTTTTTCACAGAGCATCGACAACAGCAGTCAAACGGCAATGGCAGAGACGGTCTTCGGAATATTTGTCATTCGACACGAAGGTGCAGAGCCTGGGGATGACCCCGAGAACGTTGGGATCATTCTGGAGGGGCTCGAAGTGTTGGATGAGTTGGGAAACTTATCTTTTACGGTGGCGATGATGTTTGCTCTCGTGTATGCTCTAAACTTGAGCTACCCTCCAGAGCTGAAGTTTACATTTGAAGCACTGCAGAAAATAATGATGGAGCTAGATGAAAACAGACTATCCACAAAAGGACAAGTTCTCAAAACATTGCTTTCCCGTGCCTAATGTCACTGTTTGGGATCGCCTCATCTTCCAAACACGCAGCCATCAGAGATTCGGTGACTCACCTCTTTGACAGAAATGTTGATTGTATGCAAGAAGTATAAAAGTAAGCATTCAAAGTTGGCTGTAGCATGGTTACGTGGACCTCACTGAGCAGAGGGCTGTGCGAGGAGGCAGATGTTACCATGTTGCCTTATTTGGTCTACTGTTGAAATTCAAGTTTGTTATACTGTTCACCCTAAAGTTGAAACATTTTAATATTTGGGAAGAAACTGTGTTTTTTCAAGCATCTGTCAGTATAAAGCTATTTTGTGAAATATATATTCACTGTTATATTTAATAACAGTGAAAGCCAGTCTGCTTGTTGGCTGAGATGGTGTTCTTAATGGGCTTTTTTTATTGCATGTTCTCTAATCTGCATACTTAGACTGACAGCAATGACGTGAGACACGAATGCATCCTCGTATTATATTTCATATAATATTTGGGAAGAAACTTAATTTTTTCAAGCATCTGCAGCATTGTTTCTCTTTGCCTATTTTGTGAAATACAATTTTGTATTTCAACATCTCGCGTTTGTGTTATGTTTCCACCCTTGAAGCTCACTAGACTACTGTTGAAATTCTGTTTCTGTTACTGTTCACTCTAAACGTTTTAAATATGTAAACACTCAAAAGTTATTCTTTGAATGAACTTGATTAAATCATGGACAGTATTTCCACATGATGAAATGGCTTTCTTTCAGCTTTAAGCAATTACGTTGACCCAACCCAGGTAAATTAAGTTGGTAACACACCTTATAAATAAGTTGTATCAATCCTAATAGATTGCATTGACCCAACCCAAGTAGAGTTATTTTTTTGAGTGTAGGGTCCTTCTCAGGTCCATTAAATGGAATCCTTGCGTCCCTCACTTGCGTCGTTTCCCTGCGTTTAGTCCCTTCCTGCAGGGAAGTGAGACGCAAGGAAACCATGCACAAGAAGCAGGGAAATTAGTTTTAAGAGCAATGGGACGTCCTTTTTCCCGGAGCGTCACGTGAAGCGACGTCCGTTTGTGATGACGCTGCACAGCTGATCGTCTGACAGCAGCCAGCTCTGTCCCCGTTATTTTCACAAAACACCCCCCGCCTCTGTTAGCACACATTTACTGACACAAACATTTGTATCATCTGTTGTAGACCCAAATACATTAAATAAAATAAGAACTCATTCTCAAAAAAAGATAAACGCCATTCTTAAAATGTATAAACGAAAAAAGCGATCATGAAAATGTTTCCAATAAATGAATAAAACATGTTTTGACCACTTTGTTGTTCAGATAGCCTATATCACATATGTTGTAACTAAATGATACATGAATTGAAACAAAACACAGTATAGACTGAGGAGTGACTCGTGAGTTTCATGTATTTTATTCACTCCGCTGGGAAACTGCTCTCATGTCAAGAAGCATCGGATCAGTGCATGCACTGCATCGTCCAATCAGTGAGCGATACACAGTAAGGGGGCGGGGCGAGTATCTGTGGATTTCATCGGAGGATGGTCTGGTGATTCCTCGATTATCGCTCCTCCATTATCGCTCCTCGATCCCCCGGCAGAAATAAGCGCCATGGGACGGTACTCAAGATGACGAAGACAAATCAACTTCCGGTGATACAGACGAGCGAGGAGCGAGGAAAGTGAAGCGACGTCCTTTTGTGATGACGCCGCACAGCTGATCGTCTGACAGCAGCCAAATCTGTCTCCTCTGTTAGTACACATTTACTGACATAAACATTTGTATCATCTGTTGTAGACCCAAATAAATCAAATAAAATAAGAACTCATTTTCAAAAACAGATAAAAGCCATTCTTAAAATGAATGAACAAACAATAGTTTAATATTTCTTTGAGTGCACAAAGAAAAAATATTGAGAGAAGAAAAAGCATAACAGAAATATTGTGGTTTAAATAAATGTGAACAGAGGTTGCATTATCGTAATAGTAGCCTATAGGCATACAATTAAAATGAAGTAACGGCACTAACTTAGGCTGAACTGAGACAAATCATCATGTAATTCATGTCTCAGCTGTGACTGAATGGAAATGACAATAAATACAAATGTAAAACGAAAAAAGCTGTTCCTGCTGACAGACATTCAATCTGTCTCTCTTTTAATTGTATTGTGTTCATAATAAAAATGAATCGGAGATCATGAAAAATGTTTCCAATAAATTAATAAAATGATTTGTATCCACTTTGTTATTCAGATATATCACAATAGATGTTATATGAATTTGAAACACTGTATAAACTGAGGAGTGACTCCCGTGAGTTTATTGTGTTATCTTAACGCTGTTAAACTGCTCTCATGTTAAGAAGCATCAGTGCATGCGCTGCATTAGTAAGGGGGCGGGGCGAGTGGATGAGGTGTTTCACCGGGAGATGGTCCGGTAGTGCCTTGGTTATCGCTCCTCCGTTATCGCTCCTCCGTTATCGCTCCTCGATCCTCGATCCTCGCTCGGTCCTCCGGCACAAATAAGCACCATGGGACGCTCCTCAAGATGGCGTAGAAAGATCAACTTCCGGTGATCCCGAGGACCTAGAAGCGAGGAAATGAAAAATAACTAACTTGAAATCCTCACTCTGTTTGGTTCATGGTGAAGTTGGTGACTGCGGTCAACTCAGCCGTCTCTCAAATTTGCTTGGTCAAATGAGCAGTTCTTCATTTCTGAGTGCGCGATTTATAGCGCCTTTACGGTAATCGCTGAGAAGCGGCACTAACGCAAGAGTAAAAATAATGCATGTTTTTTCTGCTTCATGCGATACAAATTATTTTTACCATGAGTTCTTAAAAAAACTAACACTGTTTGACTCAGTCCTAGTTTGACTGCTACCAACAATAAAATGAAGTACTTTTACTGTCTTTTTTCTGGGTAATACTCTCAAATTCCCCTCCTGAGAACAAAATCATGCAACTTCTGCTATATTTGATGAGATAAAATGATTTTTATCGATGCATCCTTAATAAAAGTGATACTGTTGGACTCAGTACTTGTTAGACTACTACCACAAGTACAATCAAGTACTTTTACTGTGTACTTTTGAGTAATCCCCTGTCAAACTCCCCTCCAGAGTACAATAATGCATGTTTTCTGCCCTCTTTGATGAGAGATAAAATGATTTTGTGCAATAAGTTCTTAATGTAATTGGTACTGTTGGATTCAGTACTACTTGGACTACTACCAAAACTACAATCAAGTACTTTTACTGTGTACTTTTGAGTAATCCTTTGTCAAACTCCACCCCTGAGTACAATAATGCATGTTTTCTGCCATCTTTGATGAGAGATAAAATGATTTTGTGCAATAAGTTCTTAATGTAATTGGTACTGTTGGATTCAGTACTACTTGGACTACTACCAAAACTACAATCAAGTATTTTTACTGTGTACTTTTTGAGTAATCCTTTGTCAAATTCCACCCCTGAGTACAATAATGCATGTTTTCTGCCATCTTTGATGAGAGATAAAATGATTTTGTGCAATAAGTTCTTAATGTAATTGGTACTGTTGGATTCAGTACTACTTGGACTACTACCAAAACTACAATCAAGTATTTTTACTGTGTACTTTTTGAGTAATCCTTTGTCAAACTCCACCCCTGAGTACAATAATGCATGTTTTCTGCCATCTTTGATGAGAGATAAAATGATTTTGTGCAATAAGTTCTTAATGTAATTGGTACTGTTGGATTCAGTACTACTTGGACTACTACCAAAACTACAATCAAGTATTTTTACTGTGTACTTTTTGAGTAATCCTTTGTCAAACTCCACCCCTGAGTACAATAATGCATGTTTTCTGCCATCTTTGATGAGAGATAAAATGATTTTGTGCAATAAGTTCTTAATGTAATTGGTACTGTTGGATTCAGTACTATTTGGACTACTACCAAAAGTACAATCAAGTACTTTTACTGTGTACTTTTTGAGTAATCCTTTGTCAAACTCCACGCCTGAGTACAATAATGCATGTTTTCTGCCATCTTTGATGAGGGATCAAATTATTTGTAGCCATAAGTTCTTAATAAAATTGATACTGTTGGACTCAGTACATGTTAGACTACTACCACAAATACAATCAAGTACTTTTACAGTGTACTATTTGAGTAATCCTTTGTCAAACTCCACCCCTGAGTACAATAAGGCATGTTTTCTGCCATCTTTGATGAGAGATACAATGATTTTGTGCAATAAGTTCTTAATGTAATTGGTACTGTTGGATTCAGTACTACTTGGACTACTACCAAAACTACAATCAAGTATTTTTACTTTGTACTTTTTGAGTAATACTCTGTCAAACTCCCCTCCAGAGTACAATAATGCATGTTTTCTGCCCTCTTTGATGAGAGATAAAAGGATTTTAAAAAATAAGTTCTTAGTGAAATTGATACTGTTGAACTCAGTACTACTTGGACTAGTAGCACAAGTACAATCAAGTACTTTTACTATGTACTTTTTGAGTAATCCCCTGTCAAACTCCCCTCCAGAGTACAATAATGCATGTTTTCTGCCCTCTTTGATGAGAGATAAAATGATTTTGTGCAATAAGTTCTTAATGTAATTGGTACTGTTGGATTCAGTACTACTTGGACTACTACCAAAACTACAATCAAGTATTTTTACTGTGTACTTTTTGAGTAATCCTTTGTCAAACTCCACCCCTGAGTACAATAATGCATGTTTTCTGCCATCTTTGATGAGAGATAAAATGATTTTGTGCAATAAGTTCTTAATGTAATTGGTACTGTTGGATTCAGTACTACTTGGACTACTACCATAAGTACAATCAAGTACTTTTACTGTGTACTTTTTGAGTAATCCTTTGTCAAACTCCACGCCTGAGTACAATAATGCATGTTTTCTGCCATCTTTGATGAGAGATAAAAGGATTTTTTGCAATAAGTTCTTAATAAAATTGGTACAGTTGGATTCAGTACTACTTGGACTACTACCAAAAGTACAATCAAGTACTTTTACTGTGTACTTTTTGAGTCTTGTAATGCGCTGTTGAGGAACCTGCGACCCAAGTTGTGTATATGATCAATACACCTTAGAAAATCTTGAAATCTTGAAAGGAATGTGCAAAAGAGCCATTATACAGTTTTTAATTAACTATTAGTAGAGAATAACGAGTAATGAATACTTTATAGAGATCTGCAGATAAATGTTTCGTCTTCTCAAGCACCACCTATCAAATATCTCTCCTGATTGTTGGCACTTGACAATCACCTTCCCTGAATTTCACTCAGGTGTAACTAAAGTCTGCTTTAAGGGTTGTTTATATTTCACATCATTAATCAGAATCTGCAAAGTAACTAAACTAAATGTAGTGGAGTAAAAATACCAGGTTAACCTCTGATTTGTAGTGGAGAATTACAAAGTAACAATGAGCTGTCATGTGGGTATATATTAATGCTGCACATTATGGATACAAGCGATTTTCACCCATTTAGTAATTACATGTTTTAAATGTGTACACACCAATGTGTTTCCTATCGCCTAAACCTCCAGGGCTGTACACAGTTTAATACTGGCAACTTCTAATTTTTGGAAAAACGTCTTTTAAAACTACAATTCCCAGTAGATACGTGCCATAGAGAACATGTTGCGAAACACAATAGCCAGCATGTGTATTTCTCGGGGGGCGTTCGAGTCCAGTTTTGAATAGTCTGCCGTGGTTTCGTTCCATTTCAAAGAGCTTGACGCTCGGCGTAACCTTGGCGCACTGCCACTCCAACATCACAGGGTTTGTCAACGGGACTGTAGTCCCAAACGATAGCTGGGGATTATGGGTAGTGTAGTATCTTTGGCCATCCTAAATCTCGAAATGTCCCGTCTGTTTCTGGTGACTTTATTTACGGCTAAAAAGCATGCTAAAATGCCCAAGATTATAGAATTAAACGAATAAATAAAAACAAGGATAATTGTGTGTTATTGTTGAGTAAATAACAGTGTGTTATTTAGAAAAGAATAACAAATTAGAAGGAAAAGATTAAAAAAATACAGATTTCAGTATTTTGAGGCTCTAAGCCCCATTTATTTTCCTCACAGACGACAAAACAAGTCCGACATTATACGATTTAAAATAAAAACAAATAAATAAAAAGATAAAAGACTGGCATGCAATTTACGTTAGAATAAATAGAATGGTTTTGAATAATAGATGATAGTAAAATCTAAGTCACTTTACAGCCCCGCCCACTTTTGGGGAAACCAACGCTGTCATTTGAACAGCGATCAAGCCTGAAGCCACAGAGATCTTCTGTTACTGTCCTTTCTTCTTCGAGGAAGCACAGAAACACGTAACTCTGGATTTGTTTTAATGTTTGAGGTGCAATAAATGACACAGCAGCTTTTTGTCATGTTAAAACTATTATTTTCTGCCTCGCTCATGAGATTAACAGCTGGCGAAATTACAGCCTCGCCTACTGATTTTAATGTAACCATATATCGAGCCCGATTGTCGATTTCAAAGGTGTGCTCTAAAATGATATTTATAAATGACTATTATCATTATTATAAGCAAGACAATAAATGGCAAAGATATGTAGAAAATAAACGTATTTAAGATACGTTCATAACGAACGTAACGTGGGAGAAAATACGTTTCTAGCTAAACGTAATTGAGAATGCAGTTTAGTTCTGTGGGAACGTAATTTTTAGGAGACATGGTTGCAAAAATTATACATGTGTTATACATCCAGAAATATCGAAATATCGTTTCCCACAGTGTGACATGTATACATAAAACAAAAAGGGCCTAGATAACCGGGGTATACCGTTTAAAATGTTAATATATTTAAAGTGTTCAAAGTGCAGTTTCAGTGCAAGTCAGTTGAAACGATCTTAAGTTGGCGTGACGTTGAAGTCGTGCGACCCTGCTGCTGTACTGGCTTGTAGTTCGTTTATAGCATAACGTTAGCATTTCGCTTTTGGCGACTAGATTTATGATTCAAAAATTATAAAAGTAGGGTAGACATGTGGAGATTATCCGGCTGAACAAAACGTGATCCCTCTCTTAAATGTGTGTCAACCACAGACCTTATTTCGAGCTATTTTCCAAAATCCTATGGAGAATTTGCATTGGTTTTTCACGAAGGAACCGGAAGAAGTTTACTTCCGGGTTTTACCACGCGTCACTGCGGTTCTCTATACCTGTCAATTAGTGCTTCCATTGACCTCATCTGTAATGGAAGCTCGTCGAGGGTACGTATATTTGTATTTCAACAGAAAAGTAGTTATATACATAATTGTGTTCGAAAATAAAACACAAATGTTTATATTAATTGTTTATAGTTCTGATTTGACTTTATTTTAAGTCAAATCATAACTATTATATGTAGTTTAATCATTTTTATTTAGGTGGTCGCTCAGTTTTTCAAATGTACACCATTCAGCTCCTCCAGCACCCCTACTTCCTGCGGCACCCGACACACTGAACTCACATGTTGTTTAACAGATGACACGTTTGTAAACAAAAACCCTGCTGGGGGACTGGGTGATACATTATCTTTTAAAATTGTATGAACATGTCCAAATTTAAGAATCCCCATAGAAATTGTCAACGGACAAACTGTTTTCTCAAGATGTACATGTATTATTATTTTTTTTAAATAAGAAAAAAACAGTGTTCTTGTTTATTACAGGTTATAAAGTTATACTTTTATAAAATGTATGGACAACATTTTAAAAAGTGCTGGGGACATGTACCCAGCATCCCCAGCTTAAATGACACCTATGAATATATCCCTCTGTCCTTTCAGTGCAAATCGACATAGCATAGGCAACAAATCAGAAGTCAGGGAATCAAGCTAATTAATTAAAAAAGTCTAAACTGAGTGAAAAGTCTAACTATAAATAATAGATTTTAACTTGTTATGTCTTTTCAGAGTCTTGGTTTTCTCAACGTTTGGGAAGGCAAGTGTTTCTTATTTGTCACACAATTGTAATTGCATTAAAAAATTCAATGATTTCTCAAATGTCATATTTTTTTACAAAGAAATGACGGAACTTTGACATTTCAATTTCAGACAAGAAAAATAACAATAACAAAAGAAGTCCTTTTGGCTGTCACTGACAAGCTTCGAGCCACAACCAAAACAAAAGACAACGATGAAGGTGACGAGAAAGACACTTTCTGGGGCGAGGTGTGTCAGGAGCTTGGAATATCCGATTCCAAGACCAATAGGACACGGCTTCATCATGCCTATAATCATCATAAAAAGGTACATTTTTTATAAATATTGCACTAATATTGATTCTTATTTCTGCTTTGCTTTTATCTTCATCATCAGTCTGCCTGTGTGAACAACTTTAATTTGGATGTGCTATAATATTTTATATTATTTGATTAATAATTACATCTTTGGATTTCATTTGCTCCTTGTCATGTGCAGATGAGACACAAGACACAGATGGTGACCGCAGCACCTGCCAGCCCATCGACAGACAGTGACCACACGGCCTGCCCCATCGACAGTGACCACAGTTCCACTGACATTGACCGCACAGTGCCTGCTACCCCATCGTCGGTTAGACAGGCATTCACAGAGACGAGTGAACCAGAAGACGTTTCAGAGGTAAATATCGCATATTAGCACGTAGTTAGTGTTAGTGTGTTATGAAACATGCACACTACTGTGTGGAGTGAAATTATAGTTAGTCCCAAATAAACAATTTCAGATATATTGATTCACATCAGTAAAGAGTCATTCCAACTTTGGTCACTTTCGCTAATATGTTTTCATTGTGTTTTACAGTGTAATTCATCAGGGACATATGACTCCTCATCACACTCAAAAGATGGGCAACTCTTACACTCATTTAAATTGCCTTCAAATCCTTCATTTTTTTTTGTCACTAAAAGTGACTGGAAGAAACTGAGGATGAGACAACATAAGCGTCGATTCAAATCTTTAAACTGGACTTCAGTCATGGCCACTGGCATCCGGAGTGTCCACCCACACTGTTGCTTTGTCTTCAAATCTCACAGTGTGCGAACAGTTTGGTCAAAAAGGAAAGGGTCACTTTTTTCATGTGTTGGCTACTGTCGATTTGATAACTGTCCTGTGGAGGTCGAAGTTGACATTGAGGATGAGTCATCCCTTAAGGCAGTTGTGACCTTCAGAGGTGAAAAATCATGGCACAACTGTGAAGAACTCAAACATCGGCCTGTGCGTGCAGATGAAAGGGATGCACTTGCTAATGCCCTCACCAGCAAACTTCCCAGAAGTGTGTACCTTGATAAGCTCAATAAACTGGATGACACTGTGTTGGCTTCTGGAAACAGAGACCAGGTACCATCAACTGGTGTGATGAAAACATTGTCCTGGCAGGCAAGAAAGAAGCTGAGAAAACACAGCAATGAAATTATCAGCCTCAGAAAAATGATGGAGGAAGAGCTTGAGACTGAGGAAGCAGTCATTAAAAAAATTATAGCACACCCCAAAGGAGTCATGCTATGGTCCAACAAAACAATTGACCTCTTCCATGACAGGTGCAGGGAAGACATTGTATATGTGGATGCGACAGGGAGCATTGTTAAAAAGGCAAAAGGGAAAACCTCACCTTTTTATGTGTATGAGATGGTGGTCCGAAATCCATTCAAAGGATCCTCCCCTGTCCCTGTGGCCACCTACATCACAAAAGACCACACAATAGCCTCCATATCCTTTTTCCTTGGGTCATTTCTGACTGATGTAATAAGACTCCATGGAAGGGGAGCCAAAAAAAGACCTGTCATGCTGATCTGTGATGGCTCTACAGTCCTCATGGAGTCCATGGCCTATAATTTCTGTGGAGTCAGCCTCCAGGAACTTCTCTCCATGTACTACAGCATCGTATCTGGACAGGCAAAGCATGATTGTACTTTTAGTAGTAGTCCAAGTAGTACTGAATCCAACAGTACCAATGTCATTAAGAACTTATTGCACAAAATCATTTTATCTCTCATCAAAGATGGCAGAAAACATGCATTATTGTACTCTGGAGGGGAGTTTGACAGGGGATTACTCAAAAAGTACACAGTAAAAGTACTTGATTGTACTTTTAGTAGTAGTCCAAGTAGTACTGAATCCAACAGTACCAATTTCATTAAGAACTTATTGCACAAAATTATTTCATCTCTCATCAAAGATGGCAGAAAACATGCATTATTGTACTCTGGAGGGGAGTTTGACAGGGGATTACTCAAAAAGTACACAGTAAAAGTACTTGATTGTACTTTTAGTAGTAGTCCAAGTAGTACTGAATCCAACAGTACCAATTTCATTAAGAACTTATTGCACAAAATCATTTTATCTCTCATCAAAGATGGCAGAAAACATGCATTATTGTACTCTGGAGGGGAGTTTGACAGGGGATTACTCAAAAAGTACACTGTAAAAGTACTTGATTGTACTTTTAGTAGTAGTCCAAGTAGTACTGAATCCAACAGTACCAATTTCATTAAGAACTTATTGCACAAAATCATTTCATCCCCCATCAAAGATGGCAGAAAACATGCATTATTGTACTCAGGGGTGGAGTTTGACAAAGGATTACTCAAAAAGTACACAGTAAAAATACTTGATTGTACTTGTGCTACTAGTCCAAATAGTACTGAATTCAACAGTACCAATTTTATTAAGAACTTATTGCACAAAATCCTTTTATCTCTCATCAAAGATGGCAGAAAACATGCATTATTGTACTCAGGGGTGGAGTTTGACAAAGGATTACTCAAAAAGTACACAGTAAAAATACTTGATTGTACTTGTGCTACTAGTCCAAGTAGTACTGAATCCAACAGTACCAATTTCACTAAGAACGTATTGCAAAAAATCATTTTATCTCTCATCAAAGATAGCAGAATACATTATTTTGTGTACTCAGGACAGGAGTTTAAACAAGTATTACTTAAAAAGTACACAGTAAAAGTACTTGATTGTACTTTTAGTAGTAGTCCAAGTAGTACTGAATCCAACAGTACCAATTTCATTAAGAACTTATTGCACAAAATCCTTTTATCTCTCATCAAAGATGGCAGAAAACATGCATTATTGTACTCAGGGGTGGAGTTTGACAAAGGATTACTCAAAAAGTACACAGTAAAAATACTTGATTGTACTTGTGCTACTAATCCAAGTAGTACTGAATCCAACAGTACCAATTTCACTAAGAACTTATTGCAAAAAATCATTTTATCTCTCATCAAAGATAGCAGAATACATTCTTTTGTGTACTCAGGACAGGAGTTATTACTTTAAAAGTACACAGTAAAAGTGCTTGATTGTACTCGTGGTAGTAGTCCAAGTAGTACAGAATTCAGCATAACCGATTTTATTAAGAACTCATTGCAAAAAATGATTGTATCTCTCATCAAAGAGGGCAGAAAACATGCATTATTGTACTCTGGAGGGGAGTTTGACAGAGTATTACTCAAAAAGTACACAGTAAAAGTACTTGATTGTATGGTAGTAGTCTAACATGTACTGAGTCCAACAGTACCAATTTTATTAAGAACTTATGGCTAAAAATAATTTGGTCCCTCATCAAATATCATTGATTGATTGATCAAATATAGCATAAGCACTTTTACTATCGTCAGCGCCACTTCTCGGCGATTACCGTAAAGACGCTATTAATCGCGCACTCAAAAATGAAGCGCTGCTCATTTGACCAAGCAAATGCGAGAGACGGCTGAGTTGACCGCAGTCATTGGTGCGGGTGTGGTGGAAACTACAATAGTTTGTCTCAGTTGCTAAGGAGCTCAGTCAGCAGCAAACAACTAACGTTCCATTCTGAACGTCCGATGTTCATTGAAGCTCTGTAAGCCTCCACATAATGTGTACAGTTGGGTTCGTCATAGTAGCGGCGGGCTGATTAATCTGTATTAAGATGTGGGGGTTTGTTTCTATTTTGGCAAACATATTGAAGTGTGGTGCCTTTTTAAACTCATCAAGCCCATATCCTGCGGAACGGCCAAGGCCTGCAGCACAGGACAGTGAGGACACACAGTAGCATATTTAACATTACTTTAAGCACATTGCACAGTAACACCTGTGGTTTATTTAAAATATGGATATATGCTTGCTTTTGCCATAAGCCTATGTGTGAGGATTCACTTTTGTTACTATACGTTAGTCGCACTTTTTTTTCAATGCCTGTGCTATGGCCTTTGCACAAAAGCTATTCTGGTTTTAATCACATTTTAAACATGTTTGATTGTATGAGGAGTCTGAAAGAAGAGAACAATTAAAGGCTTTGGGAATCTGACGTCATTGTCACCTGACGGTGTCACCTGATTCGGTCACATGATCGGTGACCGGGTAAACAGGAAGTCATAACAAGTTTTCCGTCAGTTCAAGAACGTCTCTCTTGGCTGCACGATCACTGGTCTTCTCCCTCTCACAAAGGTAGGAATAACAGTTTTAAGGTGGTTTTATGGTCTTTTAAATGAATTTATGCAAGTGGCTCATTTAGTTTGGGTTTTATTAGGGCGAGTGCAAGACGAGATTTTACCGTTGACGGAGGGAAACTCTCCCGACAGGCACGAGACCGGGTCTGTTATGAGCAATTCGCTTTTAAATGGCGTTTTAAACCGACGTTTTAATTGTGTTTTAAGCAGTGTTGGGACTAACGCGTCACAAACTAACGCGTTACTGTCACGCAACTACATTTGGCGGTAACTAATAACGTTACATATTCCCATTCAGTAACGCCGTTATCGTTGCTGTGATTTAAATGGGTGCGTTACTGCGTTACATTATGTGATCCAACTGAACCGAATCGGATGTAATTTACAGGCGAATACAGTGATGTCCTCTCACAGTACCATGGAAAAGTGAAAGTGACCAGAGAGGATTGATGATTGGTTAACGCAGGGTAACATTTCAGGGTAACATTTCAGGGTAAGCCAATCAGAGACAGAGTTGGGCGGGTCTTGACTTATGGGGAAAATACACACACACACACACACACACACACACGCAATGGCAGATGCAAGTATCAGTGAGAGCAGCAGCGCTGCACAGCACTTATCTTTTGTGTTTTATTGTTCCACTACATTTCATAATGATAATTGCTACAATGATGGGGAGTTGTCTTTTCTCTTACTGTGCCACAGAACAACACAAAAACTTGTATTTTTATTGTTATTATTTTTAAAGTAAAATAACTTGTTACTAGTTACTTTTATGAGAGCAGTAACTATAACTATTACTAGTTACTTTTTAAAAGTAACTTGCCCAACACTGGTTTTAAGCAACCTATTTATGTGTTTTACAAAGTTCAATGCACACAACCGGCCCAGCAACCCGGGATATTAAGTGACCATTTCCCCGGCAGGATCGAGCTGAGTTGGAAAATAACTCTGTGAAAGTATGCCTTGTTTTTAACTCTTTAATTGTATATTGAGTTGGTGAAGGAGGCTGGCAACTAACATGTTATGTTGTTTCCTATTCAAAAGGACCAGGCTGTCCTATAGTGTTCTTTGTATGTTTTGTTCATTTTCTTCATGTGCAGTGTATGGCAATATAATCATTTTATTGTTTGTGTCTTAGGTTGCGCTCCTCTTCCTCTGCGGCGTAGGCCTGGGCCCGGTTGGAACGCTGCCTGCCTTCAGTGTAGGGACTGCACGGTGTGACACTTGCTTTTCTGTATGCTAAATATCTCACTGTTATTATTTTATAGAGATTGTGGTTTGAATATTGCATGCTTTCGTTGTTTTGGTGTGTGGCTTTTCTTGTTTTTGTCCCTCACGATTAGCAGGCACTGCAACCCAGCGGACCAGGCCTGCCCAACTGAGGAGGGTAACTTATATACGTGTTGAATTATATTTGCCATTTTAACACTTCCATGTATTAGTTTCTTACTTTTTACGATATTTCCCTGCTTATCTGGCGGAAATTGGTTCATCTTGACCCCCCCCTCCTGTTTGTAAACCACAGGTAATGCTATGATTTCAAGTTAATGTAAACTT